CTGGGCTGCGCCCTCGCGCCCGCGCGGAGGGCCCTTCGGGTGCGGGTCTGCGCCCTTGTCCCCGCCGAGTGCGGGGTTCCCTCTTGCGGCGTCTGCGCTCTCGACCACTCGTCTCCCTCACGAACCTCCCATCGCTCTAGAGACACGCAGACCTTCCTCGGGCCAGAGTGTCAGAGCGAGAGACGTAGGGCAGCCTCCGTACCCGCGTGGTCCCCGCATCGAGCATGCTGGCCGTCCGAGAAGGACCCTGACCCTGTTGCTCGTGCGCCAGTACTCGCCGCGCTGAGGTCGTGCCGGGGACCCGCGCGCGGGCCGCTGATCTTCGGCCCGGAGAAGAAGAGGCGAGGGACCCCCGGGGGCCGGGGCGCACAGGCTGGGTCCGCCAGGGTCCTGCTCCGGCCTCCGCCCACGCCATCCTTGGTGCCTTGCAACCTCGCCACCTTCGTGCTACCCTGGGGTCCAGCTCCAGCCCCCAGCGTCTCCGCGAGGAGAGCCGCCCAGCCCTGCCCCCTCTCCTGAGTCAACACGAAGTCTCCTGCGGGTCTTGTATCACGTTCTACCTTACTCATCCTGCCAGCCCAACAACCTGCTCCTGCACTTCCCCGGGCATGTGATTCCCCTCCCCTGTGACTTCCTCCTGCCTGTCACGACTCCCTCCATCTTAAATGGCTCACCGTGCTACTGGACGCCCAGAGATGGCCCTGTGAGGAGCAGCAAGGCTGGCCACCACCAGGAAGGGAGCTGGCAGGTGGCCTCCCTGTGAGCTAGAGGTGGGGGAGAGAGATGTGAGCCAGGGCCTGGGGTTCCCGAGGTCAAGAGTCTAAGCATTTTGGAATGGGAGCCAAAGCTGCAGAGGAGACCATGAGCTATGGGGGACAGCATTCCAGGCGGGCCGGCCTGTGCAAAGGCCCTGGGCAAAGCTGGGAAGGCCCGCATAGAAGGTGGTGCCTGAGGAAACCGTGTCACGACAGCTTGTCATTTGGCCATCCTGGGGACTTTGATCGGATTTCAGTGAGGAGGACCCTCTGGAGGGGTGGAGGTTCTGAGCAAAGCACAAGAATGGACAGCTTGTAAATACTGCATCCCCTGGACTTCCAGGTGGAGAAACAGCTGAAGCTTGCCCTCCTGTGGCCAGAGAAGGGTGGTGCAGGCCCCGACAAGCCGCAGGAGGAATTGAGAGCCCGCTTCATCCCGGAAGCAAGAGCAAGGTCCCCGAGGCTGTGGCTGGCAGCCTGCACTTCCCCTCCTGCAGGCGCTGGAGCGGTGGGGGAGGACCACAGCGCCACGGGGCCGAGCCTGAAGCTGCTCCCCCGTCCCTGCTGATGCTCAGCCAACACCTCCTGCCCCAGCTTCTGGTCCGCGTGGAGGAGGGCAGATGGAGGGGTGGAGTGTGTGGCGAGCGGAACTCAGCTCTCAGCTCGGCCCATTGAGAGCGTGGGGCTCAGCACCCAGAAGCGACAGGGCCTTCCCCGCAGGACATAGCCCGGCTCAGTTTGTGGCGACCCGGGCCTTGGGGTGGGGAGTCCTGTCCCTGTGCCCTCTGAGCCCCATCAGGAACAGAGCTTAGCAAACAAGGCTTGTATTTTTAGTGAAAAATTTCCAAGCAACTGAGAGAGTAGCCTACGGCTCTCCAGGTGGGAGGATTATTCGTATTTTGACAAACTCACACCCTGTTGCATTAATTTTTCTGAACCATCTACATTTGCATTTACCCTCACAGCTGCTGAGCAGAGCCCTGTAGCAAGAATGTTGTCTTTTTTGTCCTTCACAAAATTTTGGACGCACTTGGCTGGCAGGACTGGCTGTGAGGGCGTCTCTCAGCTGGCTCTGTACTACAGCCAGGCAAGGGGGCACGGAAGGGACCAGGGAGGAGTGCTGCGTCCAGAGCCAGAGTCGGGGAAGCTGGAGCACCAGGGGGTCTCTGTAGACCCCAAAGGCCAGTCCATCACCAGTGGCTGCCAGATCCAGGGTGCATGTGCTATTGAGCTAGACTCCAGGGAGCCAGGAAAGCCTCTTTGATGCTGGCTTCTGCCCCCGACCTCTGCCATGACCTCAGCTAAGTCAGCCCCTTCTGGGCTGACACCAGTGCAGGAACCCAATGGTAGGGGCCACCGTGAGTGGTTCCAGCCTGTGCCCAAAGGTGCCTAGCTGTGGTGGGTCCTGGTCCCTAGGGGCTCAGCCACTCTCATGGCCACCTCTATTCCAGGCCACCCCACCACCCACCCTGCCCATTTCCCAAAAAGCACACCTCAGATGACTCTCCAAGACCATTTATTGTACCTAGGGGGCTGGGGGTGAAATGGGGTGCTTTTTGCAGAAGACACAGCAGGCTCAGTCCCCGCCAGCACTTGACCAGGAGCCCTCACCGCAAAACAAGTGGCAGGTTCCAGGCACTCTTCCTGGCCAGTTCTAGACACTGTGCTTATACCGGCCCTCCCGGCCTCTTCCTGGCCCAAGAGGGAGCACTCCATGGGGAGCCCCACACCGAGAGCCCCTTGTGTTCAGGGCACTCACCTGGGACATCATGTTGGTACGCTGCTCTGTGGAAGAGAATGGGCTTCAGGCACCCCTCGTGCCCCTTGCCCTGGGGCCCCACACTCCCAGTAGCCACCCCCCCATTCTGGGGTCAGTGCAGTAAACCACAGGGCCTGGCCCTGCCAGGCTGGGTCTGGGGCCCCTCAGTTCCCTCGTCCTGGAGCTGGGGCAGGGGGTAGTGCTCACCCAACTTGAGCAGCAGGGCGCCCTGGCTGGGGTTCAGGCCCACTTCAGGTACCAACTGCTGCATCTTTTGGGCGCCTTCAGGAAACGGCACTGGGACGTGGCCTGAGGCAGGAGGGCATGTGAACATGGTCCACCCGCAGGGAGCAGCAACACCCTAACGCCCCGTCGGGTATCCAGGGAGCCGTAGCCCCTTTCCGCGCTCCATAGAGCTGCAGCCAGATGTTCCACGCGCCTGCCTTCTGCGTCTCAAAGTACATCACCGCGAAGTGCTCGTAGTCAGTGAAGGCCACATGGATGTTGCTCTGGGCCATGGCTGAGAGCCGCGGAGGGAGAGGGGCAGAGAATGCCTGGATGCCCCACCAGGAACCACGCCCACCGGACCCCACGCCCCCGACCCCAGCGTGGTCCACTGACCCCACAACTCCGCTGCCCACCCGCTCTCCAGGTCCCGGCACCTCACCTGGGTTGCTGAACTGCCCGTGCATAGCGCCCTTGGTGTATGTTGTCTCTTCTGGCACCCGTGTTCAGGCCTGGGGGGACCTCACACCCGAGCCTCCGCCCATGCTGTACCTGCTTTCTCTCTGGTGTGCCAGTCCTCTGGCCACCCCGAAAGCCTTAAGGAGCCTGCGGGTTGCTGTAAGGCAGCAGGTCCTGCCAGGGCCTGGCTGTGTGGGGCTTGCTGGGCACACACGGAGCGCAGCCACCCAAGCCCTCTACAGACACATCTACAGACACGCAGACAATGCGCAGACGCAAATGCACACGTGCAGACATACACTGACAGTCCGTGACACCCAGAGCACAGCCCTCCTGAGGTGCAGGTGCACCTGACTCGGGCTGTCCTCCTGGGCTGTCAGGACCACCTTGGTTCCTGCTGACTTTCATGTGGCCTTGCACTGGCCTCACCTGGGGCTGAATTTGAGCTGAGATCATGGGGTCACTTATGTGGGGTACCCAAACTTGATAGCCAGGTCACCGTTGGTGAAGGAAGTCACTGAGACTACAGGCATCTTCATATCATCCTTGGAGTCCTGGAAGCCCTGGTCATCCGACACAGCCCCAACTACACACCAGAGGCCCTGGAACTACAGGAAGGGCTAGAGAGCTGGGAGGTGGCCCTGTGCTCAGGCAAGCCTACCACACCCCACCTGAGCAGGCCACTTTTCCAGCAGCACCCTGAGCTGGGGACAGGGCAGCAGCTGCCCACCTGGCTACAGGCCCTGAGGGCAGTGAGAGGCACCATCCACAGAGGGGTGGGGTGTCCTCCAGAGGCGCATGGGGGCTCTTTCTGAGGCTTCAGAGTCAGAGAGTCTCTGATGGGGAAACAGGTGGGGCAGGGCCCCACCATGTGGACAGTGAGTGGGAGCAGGCACACCTTGGTGGGGTCAAAGTTGGCCTGGATGGGCACCTGAGCCTGGCCTGGGGACAGCTGGAGCAGGGTGAGGAGAGTAGCTGGCAGCACAGAGGGCAGCATTGTAGAAGGGCCTCGAGATACTGGGCATGCAGCAGAGCTGGGGCAGCCTCCTCTGCCATGGCTTTATGTCCCCAAGATGGCCTGGAGCAGCTAGCCCAGGACACAACCCACATGATAGGCTGTGATCCAGTTGCACCCTGCAACTCCCAGCCCACCCTGCCAGCTCCTGTTTCCTGCCAGGCAGTGGGGACTGACACTCCTGGCAGCCTCTGGCCCCATACCCAGCCTTACTGGCCCCTAAGCCCCGCACCTGGCCCAGCCCAGTCTCCTCATCCAGGAAGCCTGCCCAAAGGTGGCCCCCCACCTGTGAGCTGAGAGGGGCAAGGATCAGGCAAGGGATTCTGTGGAAGCCATAGGGCCACTCTGTCACTTTGTCCTAGTGGGGCCACCAATTCTCTAGCACCTTCCAAACAAATGCACCTTTTCTTCTCAACCCCAGGCCTCTGCCCAACCTGAGTGCACTAATCCCAAAGCTTGACAACCCCATCATTGCCAAGCGCCCACCTTTCCTGCCAGGGGTGGACACTGCCTTAGGGCTTAGCTGCTGAGTGACTGACCCCACCAGCCCAGCCGAGCTGGCTGACAGCCCTGGCCCAGAGGCAGCTTGGGGGGCACAGCATGAGGTGATGGCTGTGGCGAGGTCAGGGTCCTGTGCAGGGTTGTGAATGCTGGACACTGCCCCTTAGCTGTCCCGGCTCAGACCCCACCAGAGGCAAAGGCCTCTTAGGTGACTTCATGCAGAGATGTTGCAGGAGGGGCCTGGGGTGGCTCAGGTGACCTGAGTACAGATGGGCAGGGACAGCTCTGATTTGCTTCCATTTATTTCTCAGATCTGGGGTAAAGTGAGAGGTGCAGAGGCTTTGGGGAGCTCAGGCCAGGGTCTCCGAGGAAGGTGTGAAGCAGAAGAGGCCTGCGGGCTGGGCCACCTGGGGGAAAGTGGATGGGCACACGTGTGGGTCCCAGTGGCTGCTTCCAGTGCACACCTCCCTCCCAGGGCCTCCAGAGCCGGCTCCTCTGCTCCCGAAGCTCTGCCCCCATCCACCAGTGCAGTCTGCTCACCTCCCTGCCTCCCCATCTGGGCTCCGGACGACCTTTGCCCCAGAGTGAGAGACCCCACTGCAGTGGCGCCTGTGGGGGGAGCCTCTCCTGCTGGGGACCTGGCACCCATACTCCTCCCCTCCCCCATGAGCCCTTGAAGGCCAGCTAGACTCCAGTGGCTGGGACCACGTTCTTTTTCTGACGGTCACACCAGACGTCCACTCTGATTAAGGACTCCTGTCTTCCGACCCCTGCCTGCCTTGCCCCTAACAAAGGTGGCAGATATTGTGGAATGTGTCAAGGAGTGGGTCCCTCTTACCTGTGTAGCAGTCCCACCCGACCCACTCACCTATTCCTGCTCCTTCATGCACTTATCTGCCAAGAAAGAAGCCCAGGGGCCACTGTCAGTCCCAGGCCAAGACAGATTTCCACGAAACCGTCTGGCCCCCTGACCCTGAGGAAAAGCCCTGGAGAACTGGTCTAGCTGAGAACTCAAACTGCAAAGACCCAGGCCACCCGCCAGCCCTGCTCTTCAGAATGAAGGCAGTGGTCTTTCTTCCCTGGTGTCCCCATGGGCACCCCCCAGGCCAGGTTCTGGCATCCCAGGATGGCCGCCGGGTACTGGTATCCATCAGGGAGTGGGCCAGTGGAGGCTGCAGTAGAGGTCAGAGGATTGGGGACAGAGTGACAGGCAGGTCATGGTGGTAGGGCAGGCCAGCCCCTCCTCAACTGCCTCAGGTCCAGGCAGGGGACGCCTCCCTCTAATCCAAGCTAATCCCTGGGGCAGAGCAGCCCCCTCACCTGTTTTTGGCAAGAAGACAATGGTGTCTTCTGTGAAGCCCCGGGCCTCACAGAAGGCGGAGAATTTCTCCTTTAGCTCAGCCCTTGGAGTCTGGGTGCGGCCTGTGTGGATGGAGAGGGGCTACCTCAGTGGCCCAAGTCTTGGGGAGCTACTGAGGCCATGACCCAGTCTGTACCAACTCCACCCAGGGCTGGGCACCTACTGTACAGCGTGGCCATGCGAAAGTCATGGTCGATGCCCTTGGTGTCCAGCAGCGCATACTCATTGTAGTTGGTCTCCACCACGGAGATCAAGGAGGTGCGGTCCCAGCCTGGGGGCCAGAGGCAGCGGTTGGGACCGCAAGCCTCCAGCCACCCTTGCTTAGGGAACCCGCTTCCGTGGAACAGACATGGGCTGTGCACAGGGCCCCCCTCCACCTGCCCAGAAAGTTCCCCTCGTGCTGGCTTCTGTCCTTGTCCCTCCCCACCAGGGCCACAGCCAGCTTCCTGCTTACTGCCACACAGCCCAGGAACTGTCCCAGAACAAAAGTCCTAGGAGACACAAAGTATCCAGGCTTAGAAAATCAGGTCACAGAACTTGCCCAGAATGGGGGGTGGGGGGCTCTGCCTCCCAGCGTGGGAACTGGAGAGGTACAAACAGGCCTTGTGGGCAGCCCAGAAAGGGAAGGCCCTTGCTCCACTCTGCTCTGCATGCCCTGGGCCTGGCCCGCCTGCCAGGGCCGCCTCAGGAAGGCTCCAAGTCAGGGGCCTGCACCCTGCTAGCAGGCGGGCGCCACTCACGCAGGCTGTGATAGCTGTAGGAGCCGGGGGTCCCTGTGGGCTGCAGCTGCATGGTCCGGGTCTCACACTGGTCCTTCCTACAGGCAGGTCACCTTGAGGTCAGGGTTAGGTGGAGAGTGTCCCCAGACCCCGACAGTGGACAGGGCTCTCTGGTCCCTGAGCCAGCCCACCTGCCCACCCACCTGAGGAAGGTGGAGGTGAGGTTGAGGCCACCATCTGCGCTGGGAGCCACCACGGTGGAGCACATGGACATCACTGCCTTCTTCTCCAGGAACCAGCTTGAGTTGGAGGCGAGGCCCGCGCTGAACCAGCGCCCCATGAACTGCGGGAACCCCATCTTTTTTTGTTTTTGTTTTTTGCAGACGGGGGATCGAACGCAGGTGCTTGTGCTTGCCAGACAGACAGACGCTTATGCCGCTGAGCTCCCTCCCTGGCGGGGAGCCCCCATCTTGGCCTCAGGCCGGCTCCACACTTCAGTCTGGCCTGAAGCCCTGCCCTCCATGAGCCACGGCCCACTAGGAGAAGCCCCCCTCCCCGCATAAGTCCCGCCCGTCAGCAAAGCCCCTCCCGCTACAGAAGTCCCGCCTCTACCTCGAGGTCCCGCCCAAAGCTCCGACCCGCAGGACCAGCCTCGCTCCCGACCATCCCAGTCCCTGTTGCAGCGGCTCTCGCTCGTGGGCGTGGGCCAAGCCAGAGACCCCCACCTCCGTTCCTGGAGGGCGGGCCTTGGCGCCCCTCAGCTGAGCACCGGGGTAGAGGGGTTCGCGTCCCCGCTAGCTCGGCCGCGAGGGCGAGGCTATGTCCCTGAGGAGCGGTCCCGCGTGGCGCTGTCTGCTGCGATTCGCGTGCCGTCCGGGCCTGGGACCCATGTGTCCATGGGGACCGAGCTGAGGCGGCACAGTACCTGTGCAGTCCGTGGGTGTGGGGGGACGCCGCCTTGCCTCCTGGGGCACCTGGCAGCTGAGTTCCCGTCAGCTGGGCGTCAGCTGGGCGCAGGCTCTGTGGGTCGGGATTCAGTGCCCTCTCCCCAGGGAGAGACCCCCAAGAGCCGGGTGCCTAGGACCTGTACTGCCTTGGGATGGGGCAAGGCGCCCTCACCTTGTCCTCTTGGAAGTCGGACTGCACGAAGACCTGGGCCTGTGCGCCGAGCTGCAGGACCCCAAGAAGCCCTAACACCTCCAGCAGGAGCAGCCCCATCCACAGAGAGCGGAAAGAGGTCATGATGGAAGCCTGAGGCCTGGTGCCAGCAGCGCGCACAGAGAAGGGAGTGGGCAGGAGCGGCTGAGGGCACCGAAGAGACCCCTATTTATTGGCCAGGCTCGGCCTGTGCCCAGGCCCAAGGACAGCCCACTGCAGCTCGTGATGTGGGGGCGGGGTGTCCAGGACCAGCTGCAGCCTCATCCCCCACAGGGCGGCTTATGCAAGAGGCTCCCACAGAGCTGGCTCTGAACTTGGCCAGGGCCCTGGGGCAGTACCCGCGCAGGCTCAGGAAGGGGCAGCTGAGGGGCAGGGCCATGTCAGGGCAACCTGGCCCACCCGACTCCCGGGCTGTGCACCCTCCCTCGGCGCTGATCACAAAGCAGGGGGCCTCTGGACCATCCTTGGCTCAGCCCTTCCTGGGAGTGTGATGGGGGTGACTCCTCTGCCTGGCCTACAGAGGGGTCCTGGCCTGGCCGCCCATCCCATCGGGGACAGCGGTCCTGGCCCTGTGTCACAGGCAGAGCCTTGCAAGAAGGGGGCCCTGGCTTGGGAACTCGAGGGAGTGTGAGGCAGGCAGGGCTCCCCATACTTCCCAAGGAAGCTCATGGAGGGCCTGCGTGGTACCTTGCTGGGAGTACCTGCTGAAGTCCCCATGCAGCTGTCCCTGCCCCCTCTGCTGGAGCCCGGGCCTCAAGCCTTGCACCTTCCTGGGCTCAGCCCTTCTGGGTCCAGACCTGCCCAGCCCTTGGGCTCCAAGACTAAGCAGTGTCATTTTCTGGCATCTCCTGTTATGGTTTGTGTATCTGTCCCCCCAAGAGCCCCATGCAGTCACTGAGGCGCAGTTCTACAGCTGGATTAACTCACGGTCCAAGGCTGGGCTTATGGGTGTGAGCGCTGCACCCAGCCTGGGGCGGACAGGCTGAGTGTAACGTAAGAGATAAAGGGAGACGGACTTGCTCTCTGCAGCCACTGTTGCTGCCCCTCCTCCCATTTGCTCTTGTGGATTTGCTGTATTCTGCCGCCATGAACGGCTGCCCTCTGCCCTGTGCCAGCCTGCCTCGGAGTCAGCCGAGTACGGACTGAACCCTCCAGTAACTGGGAGCTAAATAAACCTTTCCTTCCTTCATTTTGAGTGTTGGGTGTTTGTCCCAGCAACGAGAGAGGAGTAACTGAGACACCTCTACGTTGCAGCTGTGGGGACAGGCAGGGGCACACTGCGCATTCAAGTGGCCACCACCCACCTCACCTTAGCACATGCCCCTCACCAGCTTCCGCAGCCCAGCTCAGACAGGGAGACCTCACTTGAGCAGGACAGGCATGGGGACAGCCATGGCTGCCTGGGCTTGAAGCTTGTCATCACACCCTGAGCTGCCCTCTAGGCCACAGAGCATCACCCCTGCTGCCCGGTCTGCACCAGTGCCATGGATCTGGTGGGGATGGGGTGGCTCTAGCTTCCCTGAGCCTCGGTTTCCCCCAGGCAGGGTTCTCTAGGGCTGTGGTGGCGTTCACTGGCTGGGGCATGCAGGGCTGGAGCTCGGCCGAGCTCCCCACGTCCCCTGTGCAAATGGCGTCAGGCCCCACTCAGCTGTCGTCCGCTCACGGGCCCAGGTGTCCTCTCCTGGGCCCGGGAACCCATCCACCCTCTCCTTTCCTAACGGGGGTGGGGATGCAGATCCTGGGCAGAGGCAAATTCAGCACGGGTGGTAGGCGCCGCTGGGCTGCTTGGGGTCCTGGACCCCCACTCTTGTTGGAGGAGTGGTGGTAGCATCACTGAGCTCATCTGGGGGTGTCTTCCAGGACCAGAGGCCCTGTCCCCCAAAGAGCGAAGAGTCAGATGCTGCCCCCTTTGTCTTCTCCACATGACTGGACCAGGGGAAGGGAGAGACCGTCCTCCAACCTGGGGAGGTCTCAGCCCAGGTGCCCCCTCTGTCCTTGACACTGGAGCCAGAACCCTGTTCCTGTCTGGAGAGAAGCAAGCAGGAGAGCTGGGTGACCCCAAGGCCTGGGAGGTCTCTGTCCTCTTCTAGGCTGAGCGGCTCCCTACAGCATCTCCAGGTTCCTTGGGCCCTGTCCTGGGCCACTGCCCAGCCTGCTGACAGGACACCCGGGGCAGCCAGAAACCTGCGGGGATTTGGGCCAGACAGGTGTGAGGGACGTGGGGCATGCACCGCCCACAAAGAAGGCTGATTGAGCTTTTGAGAAAAAGACATCCATCTTTGAACAGTTTTAGATTAGCAGAGAACACAATGAAATAGGGGAGAGCGTTCTCTCTTCTCCCAGAGCAGTCCTGTGGTGACCTCTGATGTCATAGGCGCTGTCACAGTTAACAACAGGCGGCAGCAGACATTCACATTGTATTCAAACTCTCTTCATTGCCCCATGCCCTTGTTTCTATCCCGGTTCTGAGCTGGATCTAGGTGACATTTCACCATTGTTTGAAAGCCCCTCTGGTGAGGTCTCTCTGCCCTGCTGACTTGGCCTCGGCCTCCCGGCCCAGGAGACAGGGCTGGAGTACAGGCATCCTTTGTGCCTGCACACACAGCTCCTTTCCTGGCGTCCCTAGTGCAGCCCTGGCTCAGAGCAGGCACTCTGGATGTTTGCAATTTTCGACATGAGATTTCCCTTCGCCCTCCTACGTGCCCTCCTGGAATCGTTTATTTATATCAATGTGCACTTGTGGACATTTACTTTATGCTTTGGGCTGTGAGCTAATTCTTCATTATTTGGTGGCTCAAATTGTTGAGACTGTGGCCTCGATAGCGCCATGTCCCTTTCTCCCTCCCTCCCTCCCTCCCTCCCTTCCTCCCTCCCTCCCTGCCTCCCTCCCTCTCTGGCAGTGCTGGGAATCGGACCTGGGGCCTCACACATGCTGAGCAAGTGCTCTACCGCTGAGCTGCGGCCTCAGCGCTTTTCATTTTTTATTTTGAGACGAGGTCACACTAAGCTGCCCAGGCTGGCCTAGATCTTGTGATCCTCCTGACTCAGCCTCCCAAGGAGCTGGGATGACAAGCGTGTGACACCACCTGCGGGGCCCTTCCACATAGCTCTGTTGTCATGGGCTTTTGTTTCTGTGGGATATTCCCCCCACTGATAAGTCTTGACACACACGAACAAGCACAAACCATCACCCCAGCGTAGTGGCGGTGTCTGCTCCCCTGAGAGCCCCTTGAGGTCCCTCCTCTGCCCCTCACTGGCTCTGTAATCCACACCCAGGCTTACTCTACAGGTAATTAGCACACAAAGCCCGTACTTTTTATTTTATTTATTTATTTTTTTGCGGAACCGGGGCTTGAACTCAAGCCCTTGCGCTTGCCAGGGAAGCACTTATTCCACTGAGCCATCTCTCAGCCGCCACCCAGGCTTACTCTAAATGGAGCTGCACCAAGCCTACTGCACCTTTGGGCTTGGCCTCCCACTCGGCACAGTTATTCTGTGGCTTGGTGTTGGGGTGCAGGGTGGGCCCTGCCTGAAGGTGGCCACCCCTGCTGTCTGCTTGCTTGTGGTGGCTGGGGCTGGGACATCCAAACCCAGGTCTAGCTGCATTCTTCAATCCTAATCCTGGCAGAGAGGTGCTGAAGGTGACCCGGGGCTAGGGACAAGGTGCTGCTCTCCCCGTGAGGAGGCAGGAGCACCCCAGGGCTGAGGGCTCCAGAAGAGAGAGCCCAGGTGCCTTGCATGGGCACAGCAAACTGCCCCTGCCCAGGCACTGGTAGAGAAGGGCCGGCCACCTCACTCACCAGCAGCCACGGTGGAAAAGCCAGCTCGCAGTTAATCCCCACAAAAAGAAATAGGATCCCTTCCTGCAAAACAAAGAGGAATCTGAGTGCTACACGCATTCCTCGCTGACTGAGCCCCCTTCGGAGGAGCAGCAGAGACAGGGCTGGGGGTGGGGCGCAGGTGTCTCCACACGAGTGCTGGGTCTGCGAGAACACGCGTGTGTATGTAGGCACCTCGGTGCATGTGCATACATGTGTCTCTGTGTGAGCACACGTACTGTGTGTGTCTGTGCAGAGCGCAGTGCATGTGTCTGTGTGTGCCTCTGCACGTGTGCACGTATGCACGTGTGCGTGTCCATGTACCGTACACCCGACGTCTGGCCTTCCCCAAGCAGCCTGGGAACCCGCTGCCTCCCCCCAGGTGGCCGAGCCCACATACCCCACCTCGAACTCTGGCCCAGACCCCTGCCCACCCTGGCAGTGGTGACAAGCAGCTGCCAGCCACATGCTCTCTCAGGCTGCTGAGGCGTGGCTAGGACAGCAGGGCTTGCGCTTGGCCCTGGGGGACTGGAGGGCTCGAGTGACAGGGCTAGTTCTGGCTGGGCTCTGCTCATCTGTGCCAGTTCCTGGCTGCCTGGAAAAGTCCCTTGGGTGAGCTGCACCGTCACAACCAGAATGAGACGGCCCACTTGTGGGCCCCTCTCTGCCCCTGTGCTTGGCGCCCAGACGCTGTGCAGCCTGCATGCTCAGGTGTCTGCAAAAGCTGATTGGGGGTGGGGCTTGGGGAGATGGCTCAGTGGAAAAAGCGCTTCCCTGGCAAGCACAAGGGCGCAGGCGTATGTGAGTGATGGGCAACCAGGCCAAGACTCCACCACAATCCCCAAGAAGGACAGGCCAGTGCGTGGCCCAGAGCCCCTAGAACCCCGAGGGATGGTGTGGCGACTGGGATCACACCCAGAAGGGCACCCCCAGTCCTGCCCCACCATGCAGACCTGGTTCCCAGAAAACCACAGGCTCAGGGCAGAGACCCAGTGGGCAGCAGGTCCAGGCCCAACAGACCCAGGTGGTGATGGGAGGGGTGGCTCTCCCTCCTGGGAGCAGCGTCTGTCCCTGCTCCTATCCCTACCACTGTGGCCATGCTCCCTGGAAGCCACGTCCTGTGGGGCATTGCCCACACCAAGGTGTGCAGGGCCAGCCCAGACCCTGCACGTCGGGTGTACATCAGGTGTACAGTACATGGACACGCACATGTGCACACGTGCAGAGGCACACACAGACACATGCACTGCGCTCTGCACAGACACACACAGTACGTGTGCTCACACAGAGACACATGTATGCACATGCACCGAGGTGCCTACATACACTGCACTGGACCGGTGGGTGTCAGGGAGATAGACGTGCCCATCTCCCGGGGCTTTTTCTGGCTGTCAGAGGTTCAGCAATTCAAAGGCTTATGTGTATTTCCTGCCAGGTGGACTGTATAGCCACTGGGAGGTGACCATGTCGTCACTGTAGCCTTCAGCATGTCAGTTCTGGCCAGCAGGTGGCTTTCTCGGGATTCATGTCTGTCTAGCACAGCTTGTCCTTCCTGTAACATCTGACACTTTGTACCTTCTGTCTTCATGTTCTCTTGGAAGAGAGCAGACGATGCCTTTAGGTTTCTTTCTGCAGTGCTGGGTCGCACAGGGCCTGGTGGCCTGCACCTGGTCAGCATTATCTGTGGGGTACTGGGGATTTACTCTGGGCTTTGGAACTGAGCTACACTCCACGCCTCTTCTAAAGGTCTTTACTTATTTATTTTTTTAATGTATTTAGTACAGGATCTACAGGGTCTCACTTGTAGATCGGATTTGTGGTGATTCTCCCATTTTCAGCCTCCCAAGCTCTGGGATTACAGATGCGTGCCACCACACCCAGTCTCAATCGTTGTCCCAGCGTATCCTGGGGTCAGGGCCGGCACAGCAAGCAGAGATTGAGCCCCGGCCCCTGGGTTCTGCCTAAGCCTGCTAGCTATCTGGCCGGCCCTTATTATCTTGTTTGTTTGATGCCAGGCAGGTACTTATGCCACTGAGCTATCTCTGCAGCTATTTTCTATTTTTTAAAAAATTTATTTGTGTGTGTGTGTGTGTGTGTGTGTGTGTGGCCAGCTCAGCCCACCAGGGGGCGGGGCTGGCTGGCATGTGGTGCTGGGGGATTGAACCGCGGTCCCTGTGCTTTGCTAAGCTTGTTCTAAGTAGGTGCTTTAGACCACTGAGCCATCTCACTAGCCCCTATTTTCTATTTTTGAAGCCACTCTTACAAGCTCTGTGGCTCAGGGGCCTGGGAAATCAACAGCCCTGGTCGGCAATGCCCCTCTGGCTCTGGGGGGTGCCACGCCCATGTCCCCTTCCCAGTGTGGGGCATTTGTGTCCTGTCAGGGCCACCTATTTTGTCAGGGTCCTGTGAGCTCCAACCAGAGGAGTAGGGGGTGCCCTGGCGCAAGGGCCTCCAGGGGGAGGTACAGTGAATGAGCTTAGCAGGGCTGGGTGGCAGGAGCTTCGTCATGGGCACTGAGGGACCAGCATGGCACTTTGAGGAACTATGGCTGCCCTTGGGGCCAGGGTGTCTCCTTGTCCTTGTCACAGTCACAGGGGTCACACTTGAGGTCCAGGCATGGAACATTTATTCAGGAGGGGTGCAGGGGACCAAGGGGCCGTGGTGGCTTGGGCAGGGGCTGGGGGACCCTGTGTGTGTGGACAACAATTACATAGGGGACCTGGGAGGGGAAGAGATGGTGGGGACCAGATGTGGCACAAACGGTGGGGTGCAGCGCCCTCTGTTGTGGCCAGCAGCTCCCCATTCACTGAGCACCCTCTGGTGGGGCTGCTCCCTATGGCCACTGCGGGGCTGTCACAGAGCCACATTGTGTTTGCCATGACCACTGTCCTTGACCTCTGCCTCTGCCCATGGCCAAGAATGCGACGTTGTCCCTCGTGAGGCCCTGTGCTTTGCACAGGCAGATGAACTTGTCCGGCGTCCCAGGGGGCAGCGTCCAGGTCCTGCCTGCAGCAGGGGTGTTAGTTAGGGTTTGTGTCTAGATGTCCCCAAGGCCCGTGCGGCCATAGGGTTTTCTCAGAGGTGGCTGGATCTACAGAGTGTGATGGATTCCTGGCTCTGTGCTGGGATTAGGGTGCTGGGACTGAGGGTGGGGACTGCTGGCTCAGCCCACTGATCGGTTGGCTCCGTCCTGGTCCCAGCCAACTGGATGCAACAGAAGGGACAGGAGGAGGCTGGTGTCTGCTCCTCTCTCTTTCCCCTCTGGTGCCTCGTGGGGGCCATGACCTGTGCCCTGCCAAGCCATGCTGCCTGGGAGTCGCTGGCTGCAGACTGAGACCTCCACAAATTGAGCTAAATGAATCTCTCCTCCTCTACCTTTGGGCGCCAGGCCCTGTCTTAGCAATGAGAAAAGTAACTAAGACTGGGCACCGCACAGCTCGGTCACCTGCCCCGAGCTACCTGTCCCCGAGTCCCCCTCCAGCCCAGGGCACGGCAGGCTCACCCAGCAGGCTGACCCTGATGACAGGATGGCCAGCCGCCTGTCTGCGGGACAGCAGGAGGGCAAAGCTGGTGTAGTTAGTGTCCACCACCTGGACCTGCTCCGTGTCGGTGCCAGGCCCTGCGGGGCACAGGTGTCAGCCTTTGCCAGGCTCCTCTGCGTCCCTACCTGATGTCCCGCTCACCTCCGTGGGCGATGGTGAACCATGCTGGCTGGGATGTGGGCATCAGCAGGTAAGACCAGGAGTCACAGCGCTGGCCCCTGAGGGGTTGGCAGGGCTGAAGGCTGAGGGCGCATCGGTGCCTCCCAGCGCCCGCTCTTTCGTCCTCCAGCCCACGCTCAGGTGGGCCCTGCTCCCCCCTGCTCCCCCCTGGAGTTCAGCCAGGCAAGGACCCGACTAAACGGACGTGGGTGACAGTGAAAAGTGTCTTCCGTGCAGGTGGGGGCCTAGAGGTGAGGACTGGAGAGGCCAAGCTTCTGGTGGGGATGCTGGTGACCCCGCTCTGGTTCCGAGGTGACAAAGGAGCAGGTGAGCTGCTGCCCAGCGCTAAGGGTCCCGGTGGCTGTGCCTCCCCACCCCGCGGCTCCTGGGCCAGGCTGGGGCGACGTCCAGGACTGAACTTCTCGGAGCCCCCCGGTCATATGGGGCTTTGCTACGTGGACTCCAAGCGCCCTGACGGAGACGCCCCCGGAGCTCTCCACCCCAGGACGCCGAAAGCGGGCAAGGAAGGCAGGCTGCGCGGCGGTGCACAGATCCGTGCAGCCGTCCATCAACCCACTAGAGGGTGGGCACTATGTTCAGGCAGGCCAATGAGAGCGCTCATTGGTAAATGCCGTGATTGGCTCAAGAGAAACACATGATTCAAAAGAGCCAATCAGAGCCTGTTCCTGGGCTAGCCCAGCTGCTCCCTGACGCTGTGCGCTCGGGGCTGCTTACCCCGCGAGCCAGCTGGAAACCTGCCACCCAGAGATCAGGCTGGGCCAGGCGGACGTGCTGGAGGCACTGGGAACCTGGACCCTAATTCAGGCATTCAGCTCCTGGATCCCGCTCTGCCTGCAATCCACCAGCCTTCCACTTCAGAAGGGCGGTCTCGTAAACACTTCCCTTTTTCGTGTACAACCCTCCAGCTGGACTGGGCGGTTGGCAGCCGGAGTCACGCACTCAGCAGCGTGCACTGAACCTGAGACTCGACAGAGCCTTGGGGACGCAGCTGGCCCCCGGCCAGGCCCTGACGCTGACACGGCGACGGGGTGGGGGGCAGCCACTCACCGCGTCATGGAGTTGGACACCTCAAAGTGGCTGTTCCTTCTCAGCTCGAAAAGCGAAGCGTAAGGGTTCAGTAAGGGGCGGTCCTGCTTCTTGAAGGCGTTGCCTGCCAGGCCGAGGACGAACCAAGCACCCTGGAACTGCGGACCGGGACAGAAACGCGCGGGACGGGATGTGGGCCGGGCCAGCGCTGCGCCGACGCTGGGCCTGGCGGGGCCGGGGCCGGGGCCGGTAGCGGCCGGGCGGCTCCTTGAGCCTCAGTTTCCAGCTGTGGGAGTCTGCTGGGGAGGCGCGGCGGGGGGAGGTAGCCCAGAGCCCCGACGGCGGCCTCGCCTGGCAGGCCCGCGGCGCGCAGTGCCTCCTCCTCCCGCCGTCTCCCAGGCCCCAGGCTCCCCACCTGCTCGCTGTGGAACTGGCTCAGCTGAGGCTGGACTGGAAGCGGCACCGGGGTCTGAGCCCACAGGACTCTGTGCAGGGAGAGCCAGAGCCACAGGGCTCGCCAGGGCCCCATTGCGAGGCTGGGGCTGGAGGAACCGTGCGGACGCGGCCGGCGCGCCCAGCTGGTGCCGGGACAGCTGCCCCGACCTGCCCACCTGCCTGGAGGGGCCCCTTCCCGCCCACGGCCCTGCCGACACAGGATGTCCTGTCCCAGGCCGCCAGCACAGCTGTCCCTGGTCTGAGCAGTCAGTGGACAGCCTGGCGAGCACCTTACGGGTCCCACCGCCCACGCCCGAGACCAGAGAGTGGGCGGCCAGTCCCAGCCAGCAAGGACAAGCAGGGACGGACACGCGGCACTGGCCGCGGACGGGGCTGAGAATGGGCTGTTGCACAACTCCCCCTGCCTTGGTCCTACCTGGACGTCCCTGGGACTCGATGCCTCTTCCTGAACCTCCGCCCACCCCAATGGCTGCTCAGCCCTGCAACCCCACACTGAACTGGAAGGCAAATGCCATGGTCAGGCTGCTGGGATGGCCGTGTTCCGAATGGGGGTAGTGGTGCCCTGTGCTTGGTGCCTCCCCCCTCGAGCGCCCACCCTGGTGCTGTCTCTCCCTCAGGGCACACTGGGGAACTTGAGGGCAGTCAACAACCGTGCCCCGCATACAGGGACAGACATCATCCATGCAGGGCCTGGCAGTGGACAGACCTTCCCTGCCTAGGTCGAGTGTCACCCAGGACCCCAGATACCCGGCCCTGGGCCCCCACACCAGTCCGCCCGTGTGCAGGGCCTGCATGGCTGGCACTGTGCCCACGTGTGGCTGTGGATGCGGCGCCTCTGCCTTCCTGGCTGGAAGCTCCTGGGGCCACTGCAGGATGAGTGTGTGTGCTGGAGCAAGGGATCAGGGCTCCTGGGGTGGGTTGGGCCCCAGGGACAGTGTGCCACGCATCTGGGCAGGGGGGACCCCTGCCACTCTGGGAGCCAGTGTGCCCCTGGGCTCCATCACGTCCTTCCTCTGCCAGCCAGGCGCTGGGCACAGTCTTTGCTGTCTCTGTCCTGGGAGCTGGGCAGGTATGTGGGGGCTGGAGGAGTTCATCCCACACGATGTCCAGGCAGGGAGGTCAGCCGCAAGACTGAGTGCTGCGGGGCCTCTCCAGTCCCCGTCCTGATAGGTCTCAGAAAGATGGCGGCCAAGTGGTTCTTTACATCTTTTTTTCCCTTGAGATAGGGTATGGCTGAGCAGTTTAGGCTGGCCTTGAACTTACTATGTAGCCTAGGCTGGTCTCAGACTTGATCCTCCTGCCTCAGCCTCCTGAGCGCTGGGCTCACACATGGCTTTTTACCATAGATTTTTTATTTTATTTTATTTTTTCCTGTATTTAGGGCAGGGTCTACAGCGTGTTCAGGGTCTCACTATGTAGACTGGACTCAGCGTGATTCTCCTGTTTAGTTTCCCCAGTGCTGGGATTACAGGTATGCATCACCACCCCCAGTCTCAATCTCTGTCTCTGCACAGCCCGGGGGCGGGGCTGGCACAGCACACAAGGTATCGAACCCTGCTGCTGCGCTCTGCCAAAGCAGGACCAGAGATTGGTTTTGTTTTTGTTTTTGTTTTTTTTTTTCCCAGAACCAGGGATTGAACTCAGACCCTTGCGCTTGCTTATTCTACTGAGCCATCTCTCTGGCCCCAGGACCATAGAACCGGGGATTGAACTCAGACACTTGGGCTTGCCAGGCAAGCGCTTATTCTACTGAGCCATCTCCCCGGCCCCAAAACTACTTTTCTTATAAAATGTTGCAAATCACCTACTGGAGTTAAAGGGAAAGCACAAACTGTAAGCAATGTTTCTTTCTTTTTCTTCAGAACCGGGGATTGAACTCAGGCCCTTGCGCTTGCCAGGGAAGCGCTTATTCCACTGAGCCATCTCCCCGCCCATGTAAGCAGTGTTTCTGAGCATGCGTGGGATGCACACCTGTGATCACGGCTACTCAGGCAGCTGGGGCAGGACGGTCAGGAGTTCAAGGCCAGCCTGGGCAACGGAGTCAGACAGTGTCTCAGAATTAAACTTTTCTTTTCTTTTGTCTTTCTTTTTGAGACAGGGTCTTACTATGCAGTTCAGGCTGGCCTTGAGCTCACTTTGTAGCCCAGGCTGGCCTGGCACCCGAACCAATCCTCCTGCCTCTGCACTGGGATTACGAGCATGCACCACCACGCCTGGCTAAAATTTTTAAAAAGAGCTGGGGTGTTAGCTCAGTTATTGCCTGACATGTGTGAATGCTGGGCTCCATTCCCAGTGCTTAAAAAAAAAAAAAAAAAAAGAGAGATTTTTAAGAAGAAAAGATTCACTTAGAGCTATCATTTTGCTTAATTTTTAAAATTTATTTGTTACAGGGTCTCACTATGCAGTTCAGACTTGTAGTGATCCTCCTGTCTCAGCCTCCCCAGTGCTGGGATTATAGGCATACGCCACCAAGATGGTGTTGGGCCAGCACGGCATGTGGTACCGGGGATTAACTCAGGTCCTTGCACTTGCCAGGCAGGAGCTAAGACCACTAAGCTATCTCCCCAGCTCCTATTTTGCTTAATTTTTAAAATTTTGCTTAATTCTTGAAGATAATTAGGGAAACTCTTAATTTTATTTATTTATTTATTTTTTTTTTCAAAACTCTTAATTTTAACTTGAGCTTTTTAAAAAAAATTTTATTTGTGTGTGTGTGTGTGTGTGTGGCCAGCTCAGCCCACCAGGGGGCGGGGCTGGCTGGCATGTGGTGCTGGAGGATTGAACCGTGGTCCCTGTGCTTTGCTAAGCTTGTTCTAAATAGGTGCTTTAGACCACTGAGCCACCTCACCAGCCCTAACTCGAGCTTTTTAAACACTTACAAAATAAAGTGGGTGTCACTCAGTGGCACGGTGTGTGCCCTGCATGTGAGAGGTCCTCCTGGGTTCAATACCCAGCACCACAAAATAAACACACTGAACTATAGTGAGTATCAGCGCGAGCTCTATGAAGGGCCAGGCGTGGTGCTCGGCCCTCCAGGCCTCAGTGGTGTGGGAGCCATGGCAGCCCAAGGAATGAGGATGGCACCCTGCTGGGCACCCCCAGGACTCAGCAGGGGCCTGGACCTCAAAGCAGTGCAGCAGCCCCACCTGCTCCCCGCTTCCCCACCCCTCCACCACACTGCCCCTGGCCCTGATCAGTGCCTGGGGAGACCACAGGACACAGAGCCCCTCCACGTGGACGCCCACCCAGCCCTGGGTCCCTGACCTCTGGGTGCAGCTCACCAGGGGTCCTGGGAGCCACATAGCCATGAGGAAAGACCACCTGGAGGGCAGGGCCAGTTGAGGCATCATGGAGGGGCAGGGACCTGTCCACCCCAAGTTTCCAGGGCCTGGGCACAGTAGGCACCTGAGAACTGCTTGTAACACAAATACATAGTGTGTGAACTATGGCCGGGTGGCATCTGAGTGGGGCTGCTCTGTGGGCCAGCTTTAGGCCCACACTGGGCTCTGGCCCTCACCAAGCCAAGGTCCCTGGGTCCAGCCTCTCCCTGTCAACCTCCAGCTCCACTCTGGGAGGAGCCTGGGGGACACCCATGCTCCCAGCCTGGGGCACAGACCCCATGTGGCTCAGGACCGGGATCCCTGGCTGGCAGATGGGTGTCTGCTGATCTCAAGCCCTGGCCGTGAGACCCCAGATTGTCCCTGTCACGCAGCTTCCTGTGTGGGACCAAGAGCAGCCCCAGTATCATGGCCAGGGCCATGAATGGGGTCTCCCCACAATCACCCAACTCCTGGAGCTCTAGCTCTTTGGCCACCAGGGTGGGAGAAGCTCAGGGCCAGGGCTGCCCAGCAGGGTCAGGCCTAGGAGCAGACTCTGGGTCCTTTCCCAGCCCTAGGCCCTTGTCCTTAAAAAGTTAAAAAAGCCAGGGTACGGGGCACCTCTCCTCCACCCCAGCCAGGGTTATTGCGGGGGAGGGGGGCAGAGAGGAGCCCAGAGCTAAACCTGACATTTAATGATTGTCGTAATCTAGTGGTTTGCAAAAAGGAACAATATAGTACAGGTCACATTTTATAAGATTATTTTATAATGAATGACCCAAAGAATCATGTACGAGAGTGCAGGAGACCTGTCCACACACTAAAGACAAAGAATCCAGCCGGGGGCCCGGATCCCACGGTAATGGCTCATGCAGGCCCAACCTGCCTCGGATCTGCACTGCCAAGGCCCAGCACGGCGGACGCTAGGAAGTCTGCGCCAGCGGGAGGAAGGATCTGTGCCAGCAGGCTGAGGGGGCTGCGCTGGTGGAAGCGACGCGCAAGGGAAGCAACGCAGCTGCCCCGAAAGGCACCACAGCCGTCCTCAGGGACAGGGAGGTCCCGAGCTCCTCTGAGGATGAGGGAAGCTGCCTTCCCATCAGGAAAGCCCACGCCACAGCTTCCAGGAGACTGAGCTTTGCAGCACCTTCCCCTCTGGAGCCAGAAAGTGAGGCTGAAGTGAGGGCCAGAGTCCCCCACAGTGAACCACAGGCATTCTCAGCATCGTCCAGGTCCAAGCTCCTCTCCTGTCGAGAACAGCCAAGTTCAGCAGGAAAGCCAGCACGATGAGGCCCCCGCATGAACGGCCCAGGAGAGCCAGCAGCGTCCCACAGCTCCTCCACTTTCCCCAGTTCTGCCTCTGACGCGGCGCAACAACCTTCAGGGGGGCCTCCCACTCCCAGCACCAGGCTTGTTCAGTTCAGCAGGGTGTCACAAGCTGACCACGGGTTGGCATTCACTACAATGATCCCTGTGCCAACTGGACTCAGAGTGGAGGAGCAGCTCTGGAGCAGAAGGGGAGAGATCTAGAGAGCGGGGAGGCCAAGCCAGGGTCAGGCCAGGGGGCTCCCTGGCAAGGGTGGCAGCATCCTCTGTGACTTTTTTTTTTTTGTATTTTAGGGAAGGGTCTCCAGGGTGTTCAGGGTCTCACTACTAGATTGGACTCGTAGTGATCCGCCCGTTTACAGCCTCCCAAGAGCTGGGATGACAGGCGCGCGCCACCACGCCGGGTCTCCTCTGTGGCTTCAAGGCGACTTCTGCCCCTGGTCCTGCGGCCTCAGCTCCTCACTTGTGCAGACTGCCTCCGCAGTCCAGTGGCCCGTCACCACTCGCTATCTAGGATGTGGAACTGGTCTCCAGACTTGCAAAACCCTGGTGGCCCAGAGCCGTCGGGCAGGCTGCGCACCAGTGGGATACTCACCCCAGGAAGGGAACAGGAAGCCTGGCTTTCGGTCAGCTGGCCCTGACCCACTGCTCCAAGTCAGGGCAGAGTCCCCATGGGCATCGGGTGGGCTGGGGTCTCCCCGAATCCCCTATTTCCAGGATACAGGGGTGCCTCGCGGCCCCCGGCTCTTCCGTCGTTGGATCCATCTCCCAGGAGGAGCCGCTTCCCTGTAAACTGGGGGCGCGGGAGGAGGCGCTGGGGGGTCCCACTCCGTCTTGCACCTCACCCGCCAACCGTCGCAGGTTGCCTGGGGCGGGATGGCACTGGGGGGCACGTGGGCCGCAGGGGCCTTGGCGCTCTGGCTCCTGCTCCACGTCTCACTACACGTTTCCACTGGGGCGCAGGCACATCTGTGGTTGAGCCACAGCTGGGCTCACGAAACTACGTGCTCAAGGCCAGACCCGGAAGAGTGCGGGGAGTCTGGAACCCAGGACCGCCCGTGACCCTCCGCAGAGCCGGTGTAGGGCCGCTGCTGCCCCTCGCCGCCAGGGGCGCTGTTCCGAGCGGCTTTACGTGCGCAGGCGCAGAAGTCAGCACCCGTCGAGCGGAGGTCAGGGGGCGCAAGCGCTCTAGACTCCAATTCATCGATGCCGCGGGGCTCGTAGCATCGAGCCTGGCGGACTCTACCATAGAGACGCAGGGCCGGCGGCCGGAGCGGCGGCGGCAGCTGGTCCTGGCCGGGCTGCGGGCGGAGGCGCCGCGGTGAGTCCCGGCCTCGGCCTGGCCGCGGCCGGCCGTTGGCGTCACTGACTTCGTCACCTGTCTCTGGCCGGTCTCCTCCCGCCATCACACCGCCCCGCACTCCCCGCTGCCGGGCCCGAACTTGCCCCCTTCCGGTCGCCGCTGTGCCGGCCCTCACCGCCAGCCCGTCGGCACCCGCCGCCGATGCGGGCCGCCAGGCGCGCCCACCCGCAGTCGGGAGGCCGAGGCCTCCGGGAGGAAGTCAGTCCCCAGCTGGAAGCCTCGGGCGGCCCGGGCGGAGACGGGCTGCGGGGCGGCGGCGGGGGCCTCCCGGCCCGGGTCATGGGGAGGGCAGCGGGCCCCGCCAGGCGTGACTCGGGCCCGGGCCCGCAGGGGCGGGCAGCAGGGTGCGGGCTCCCCGCCGCGCCAGCGGCTGCACTCCGCGAGCTCGGGAGGTGGTCGGGGCAGCGCGTCCGCGTCCTTGTCGGCGGGGCTTCCGGCTCCAGCCTCGCCGTCGGGCCGGGGCAGGGGGCCTGAGGTCAGGACAGGTGCTGCTGGTTCCAGGGCCGCCGGGCAGAATGTCACGATGGACGAGGGGGGCACGCCCCTGCTCCCCGACAGCCTCGTCTACCAGATCTTCCTGAGCCTGGGCCCCGCTGACGTGCTGGCCGCTGGGCTGGTGTGCCGCCAGTGGCAGGCTGTGTCCCGCGATGAGTTCCTGTGGAGGGAGCAGTTCTACCGCTACTATCAAGTGGCCCGCGACGTGCCGCGACACCCAGGTCAGCACCCGCGGGGCAAGAAGCCCACCTTGGTGGGGGGCGGTCTCCGCAAGCACAAGGCTGTAGCCCCAGCCGAGGCCCGACCTGTGACCAGAGGCCCCTGGAGGGCCGTGGCCCAGGTCTCAGCCCTCGGCCTCGCCAGTGGGAGACAGGCGCAGGGGTGACACTGTGCTGCCTGCAGCGGCCACATCCTGGTACGAGGAGTTCCGGCGGCTGTACGACTCGGTGCCCTGCGTGGAGGTGCAGACACTGCAGGAGCACACGGACCAGGTCCTGCACCTCAGCTTCTCCCACTCGGGGTACCAGTTTGCTTCCTGCTCTAAGGACTGCACGGTGAAGGTGAGGGTGTGCACTGGGACCCGCACTGCACCACCCAGGACGACAGGGGCACACAGACCCCTGTGGGGCTCTGGGTACTCTCCGTGGGGCCACGATCTGCAGCGTGGCTGGGTCCCCTAGGCCTTGGGCAGCCCTGCCAAAGGTCCTGGCCAGGGACCGTCCACTTGTGCCTTCCATGCAGATCTGGAACAATGACCTGACCATCTCCTTGCTGCACAGCGCGGACATGAGGCCCTACAACTGGAGCTACACCCAGTTCTCCCAGTTCAACCAGGACGACTCGCTGCTGCTGGCCTCGGGTGTGTTCCTAGGGCCGCACAACTCCTCGTCTGGTGAGATTGCAGTCATCAGCCTAGGTGAGCAGGGGCTCTGGGCTGGGCAGAACTGCACTCTCTGCCAGCAGTGTGCCCAGCCCTGGTCTCCCTGCAGACTCCTTCGCCCTGCTGTCCCGGGTGAGAAATAAGCCCTATGATGTATTTGGCTGCTGGCTGACAGAAACTAGCCTCATCTCGGGGAATCTACACCGCATCGGCGATATCACTTCCTGCTCTGTGCTGTGGCTCAACAATGCCTTCCAGGTGCAGCCGGGGCGGGGCCAAGACAAGGGGGGAGGACAGGGCAAGTGGGGCTCCCCTGGCCTGACCTACAGCCTGGCACCCACCGCAGGACGTGGAGTCGGAGAACGTCAACGTGGTAAAGCGGCTCTTCAAGATCCAGAACCTCAATGCCAGCACCATCCGCACAGTGATGGTGGCTGACTGCAGCCGCTTCGACAGCCCTGACCTCCTGCTGGACGCGGGTGACCAGGCCGTGCCCCCCTGCCGCGTCTTCGACCTGGGCTGCGACAGTGAAGACGAGGCAGTGGGCCCAGTGCTGCGAGCCCCGGTCCATGCCAAGGCAGGCCTGCGGCAGGCACTGGATGGCATGTTGGATGGACACACACAGCTGTCAGAGCGTGTGCTGGAGACGAGGGTGGCTGAGCTGCTGGCCCAGGGCCATACCAAACCCCCGGAGCGCAGCGCCGCCAAGAACAAGTACCTCATCTTCACCACTGGCTGCCTCACCTACTCGCCGCACCAGATCGGTAATGCGGGGTAGGGCCAGCCAGGACTGTAGCACCCACCACTGCACTGCCTGGGCCTGCTCAGCCCAAGTCCCCTTGTCCTTTTTTTTTGGCGGAACCGGGAACTGAACTCAAGCCCTTTGCTTGCCAGGGAAGCACTTATTCTACTGAGTCGTCCTTTTGTTCCCTGCATACCTGGGCTAAGCAGTGCTAAGAGTGGTGGGGATGGGTTGGGGTGCTGAGTGCTGGGATCAGTGTGCCCTGGGTGACCCTGCAGGCTCTGCCTCCCCCCACAGGCATCAAGCAGATTCTGCCACACCAGATGACCACAGCAGGACCCGTGCTGGGTGAGGGTCGGAGCTCTGACGCCTTCTTCGATGCACTGGATCATGTCATTGATGTGCATGGGCACATCATTGGCATGGGACTGTCCCCTGACAACAGGTGAGCCTGCATCCTGGGCAGGGGCCTGGAGCAGCCTGAATCCACAGCATGCCCAGGACTGGCGCATACCCCTCGCTCAGGTACCTGTACGTGAACAGCCGTGCCTGGCCGCCAGGCTCCGTGGTGGCTGACCCCATGCAGCCACCACCCATCGCAGAGGAGATTGATCTCCTGGTGTTCGACCTCAAGACCATGCGGGAGGTAAAGCGGGCCCTGCGTGCACACCGCGCCTACACACCCAATGACGAGTGCTTCTTCATCTTCTTGGACGTCAGCAGGGACTTTGTGGCTAGGTGTGGGTGCCAGGCACATGGTACGGCAGGGATGGGGAGGGGCACCCCAGTGGCCAGAGCTTACCCTTGGGCCTGTCCTGCAGCGGGGCGGAGGACCGGCACGGCTACATCTGGGACCGGCACTACAACATCTGCCTGGCAAAGCTGCGGCATGAGGATGTGGTCAACTCGGTGGCTTTCAGCCCCCAGGAGCAGGAGCTGCTGCTGACTGCCAGTGACGATGCCACCATCAAGGCCTGGCGCTCACCCCGCACCACGCGCATCTTCCAGGCCCCTCGTCCCCGCCCTCGGCCGTTCTTCTCCTGGTTTGCCAGCCACAGGCGCTGAGAGCAGCAGTGACCTGAGCTGTTGGGACTCACGAGGGCGACAGGGCCTCTGGCTCTTTCTTGAGTGGGCAGAGCACCTTGCAGCAGTGAAGCCTTAGAATGGGGCACCTGCCCCTGCACGCTCAAGCACGCAGCTGCTCACGCGTCAAGCTCGGCACTCGGTGGCTGCTGAGGGCAGCACCACAGACCCCATGCCAACCCCACGGCAGCCTGGGTACACAAGACACTGCAGCGCCCTCCCACGCACCCTCCTGGCTGGAAGGTCACACAGCCCCGGGCCAGTCAACTAGCTACTTGGCGCATTCAGTGCGACGCAACCTCGGGGGCCTGGGCCTGGGATGGCTGCCTAGAGGAAGCAGGGCTCCGGCCTGGGACTGACTTGGGCTCCCATGTGCACTCCCTGCCCGTGAGGCCCTGAATAAAGAGCTGACTGCAGCAACACTTGCCCTGTCTCTGCCCCCCTGACGCAGAATGGAGGTGAAGCCAGGCGCTGCCGCCGTGTGTGGTGCTGACAGCCACACGGCAGTCTCAGTATGCCGCTCTTGTCCTGGGGTGCCCCAGGCTGCCAGCTGGGAAGAGAAGTGGGTGGGCCTGGGCACGGAGATCACTCCGGCTAGACCTAAGGGGCTGGAGGCTGGGGCTCAGCCTCGGGCTGACGTGCAGTTGGCCGTGGCCAGTGGTCCCGGTCACCAGAGAACAGAAATGGCATCTGTCAGAAGGGATCAGCCCAAGTGAGGCACTGTGGACCTTTGGCCCACAAGCCTGCTGGGAGCCGACCTCCCCACCCACAGGGTCAGGCAGGGTCTGGGGAGCTGGCACTGCCTGGCACCAGGCCTTGAGGCCCGGTGTGTTACACACCCACACCTAAGGGAATGCGACTGGGCTCAGGACCACATTCCAGGCAGTGGGGAGTTGTGTGGGCCCTGAACCCCATCCTGTACCAGACAAAGTGGAGCTTGGAACCCAGAGCACGGGGTCCCCGCCACGAGGGCCCGTGGATGGCAGGACGCACCGCTCAGTGGAAAGGATACAGAACAATGGACTATACAGCCGAACAGGGAAGCAGAAATCAAGGACGCAGAAATTCAGACACTGGAACAGCAGAGTGGCTGACACTCCAAGTTCACGACAAATGCTGGTCTGTATGAAGGTCGGGAGCAACAGGCAGAGGGGATGGTGCTGAGCTACAGGGACAGTGGCAGACCTGAGGGTACACCGCACAGCCCACCTGCCCAGCTGTGGAGGAGGCTGGTGAAGAGGAAAATGGCAGCTACGGCAAGCAATCTTCAGAAAAGACGGGCTGGCCTCTGAGAGCAGGATCCATGTGGGGTGTGGCCTGTTGCCCCGAGGCTGAGCAAGGACATGGAACACACAGGGCTCAGGGAGGCTGTGGTGCCCCAGGGTTGTGCAGAGGCTCAAGGCAGCTCTACAGCTTGCGCCATGGAGCTGAGCCATGTGGCCTGGCACCAGTCACCCCTTGTCCCTCACTACAGCACCCGACTCCACGAGCCAGAAAGTGCAAGTGAGCCCTGGGGGTGCTGAGCTCCCTCCTGGTGCAGAGGGAGTGCCCAGGGCCTGCTCCTGCTGCTTCTTCATGCCAGGCACTGTGGTGGGGCACGGTGGCCTTGGGAGCCTATGGCAGCCATGCTGGGCTGTGGATGTGGGCAGGGGACCTGCTGATCGTCAGCACAGCTGCAGCTTGGGGTGGGCTTACTACTTCCTCTGGCACAAGGCCCCGCTAGGCCAACTGTGGATGGGCAAGAGGACAGGCTGACCACATACCAGACACCTGGCTGAAGGGCTACGGGGCTGGCAAGGGTGGTCAATGTCCCTGTCCTCGCATGCCCACACAATGAAGCCGGCAATTTAGAAAATGTTAGCTAAATAGCCAGGCGTGTTGGTGTGTGCCTGTCACCCCAGCACTCCAGAGGCTGAGGCAGGAGGATCACTATGAGTTTGAGACCAGCCTGGGCTACAAAGTGAGCTCAATGCGGCCAACAAGATAGCTCAGTGGACTAAAGTGCCTGCTTAGGCAAGCTCAGGGACTGCAGTTCCATGTGGGCACCACGTGTCACACAGCCCCGCCCCCAGGGCAGGTGTGGTGGCACACACCTGTTTCCCAGTGCTGGGGAGGCTGAAAGCAGGAGGATTACAATTCCGAGCTGCACAGTGAGACCCTTTAACAACCAAATACATTAAAAAAAAAAAAAAAATCAAGGCCAGCCTGAGCTGCATCACGAGACCCTGTCTAAAAAAAAAAGAAGAAAAAAAAAATCAACCTCTCTCCTTATA